ATATGCTCTTACATTTGAGCACTCTGCCAACATACCTAAGACTATTTAAGCTGAAATGTTAGTGTCGTATAAGGTTTTTCTCTCCTAATATAATTTAATATGAACTAGCTCTAGAAGTACAGAAAATTATGGTTACTTATCTCTTGCCTGTCTCCCAGATTCCTGAGCACTGACTAAATACATCTAAATTACAGAGAGCCTTTTACAAAGACACCATGGCATACACAGGCACAATCACACGATGACTAGATTTCTGACCCAAATCACATTTTAAAATTTTTTAAATGGGGAGGAGAAGGTAGTGAAGCAGCACTGTATGGAAATTTTCCTGGAGAACTCAGTGTCTAACTCCATTTTATTCACATCTCAGTTCAGGGAGAACTTTCTCTATCCATCCTCAGGCAGCATGATTTCATGCCTCTCAATTCTGATCTTCCTAGTATTGTTAGAATCTGAAATCAACAATTTATTTCTTTTTCTTATTATCATCTCTCTCCTCTCACTACAATATAAGCTTTTTGTGTTCAACTATTCATTTTTTATTGAATGAATCAATGAATGGATACATGCATGCATGCATACATTTGTTTCTACAGTTTTTCTCCTAGTTCCTGGGTTTCTCTCTAACATTGTATTTGGAAGACAGGAAATAAATGGATATTTCCCAACTTCATCAAAGATGTAATAACTAGTTTCCATTGCTACTTAATGATATATGCCCCCACCATCCCCTCCTAGTCTGAGTTATTTATTCATCAAGTTAACAGTTAACCCAGGTAAAGTTTATGTAAGTACAACCTGGAAAGACACTTCCTAGTTCAATGGAATTTGTTTCTTCCCTGCCAGGAGATACACAACCGTGTTGCCCCCCTATAAGAGACAAAAAGAGAAGAGAAACCTACAAATGTACCAGCCCCTATTTCAGAAAAAGAGGTGAAAAATCAAAGCAAGGAGCTTCCTTCCAAAAAGCATGATCTATCAGGCCAGAGTTCAAATGGTTTCAAAAGGAAAACATGTATTTTTCACCAAGTGAATTATCATTCTCCCTGTCACAGTGAGGTCTATAAATCTGTGAAAGGTAATTACATAAAGGATAATTACCAACTACTGCCTGTTTTGAGGGCGGCTACCAGAGGAAGAAGCAATGGTCCTCATTTAGATTGTGGGCTTCTTGAGGGCAGGGGCTGTGTATTAAACCTTTGAGCACCCCAGAGGTACCGAGCCCAGTGCGTTGTGACATAGATACATTAAGTATGCATTAAATTGTTGATGCATACACATGAGGGTTGTATTTCAAACTAAGGAAAGCTTTGCGGAGAATTTCTAAAGCTAGGAATTGGGTTTCTGAAAGAGGTCAGATTTTTTTCTCTCTAAATTCTTTTTAAACAGAGAACTCTGAGCCATTTAACAGGCATTTTTCCCCCAAAATAGAACTAAGTGACTTTTTTCAGTCACTACAGGGTGATTTTCTTTTACATTACCATTTTGAACAAGAATGGGGTTTTAGTGGACTTAGTCTTTAATGAAAGGCAATCTTCCATTTACTGCAATTAAAAAACATCAGTGATTTTTATGGAAAAGCCACTAGATTCTAGAAGCATAAAGGTATTAAAGTGATATGGTCCAAACCCTAGTTTTGCAGATGAATAAAACTTGTTCTGAAGAGATAGAGTTGGGAGGTCACAACAGTGAGTGGCTGTTCTTCAGGATCCAAATGTAGAAAACAAGATTGGACAACAGAATTCTTTTCTGTAAATTTGCCCAAAGGTGAAAATTTTAAAACAGGGACAGAAGGAAAGCAGCCAAGTCTTAAAAAGACAGGGAATTTTAGTCTTAAATAATCAATGGAAATACCAGGAATGTATTATTACCAAATTTTAGGATGCTTATTTCCTGAATGTCTCTTTGGTGCACCAATTTTATTTGAAGGCTTATTTGCAAATATAAGGCATTCTGTTTGAAGAGTACCTTATTCTAATAAAATATCTTAGGGTATTTTTTATTATGCCCCACAGCAAAAAAAAATATACTTCACCTGCCACTCACTATATACATACATATATAGAAATGAGAAACCAGTTTCTGGAAACCATACTCAGGCTTGTCAAATATGAGTAACTTTGCTATTTTGCATTCTACTTCACTTCCTTTTTACAATGTTGCTTTGCCTACTAGGTTGATTTCAGGTCTCAGTAACAGATCTCCCAACAGTTCCAAAAACAATGCCAATTCCTCTTACTAGACCATCCCCATGTTAACATCTGCTCTCCAAGGACTTACTGTGTCTACATAGAAAATAACTGGAAAGTATTAAGACAGAAACAGAGCTATATTTCTGTAATTCTAAGTGATTCCAACAGGTGCACAATCAATGTAGTATTCAGTGAATTTCTGTTGCATACAAAGTCAATGTGGTCCTCCTGAGACCAGAGTCGCATCCCTGATCTCCGCTTCTGCTGTCACCTTTCTGAAATCTTCTGCCTACAGAGAATTCTCCTTGTTCTCTTCAAAATTATTACTAACACAATTAGCACTTTAATTAATCTAGGTTGCTTATGCATATACCACACACCATTTAATGTTTCATAATACATCCATGCTGTTTTTCTCACTAATTTTTAGACTTTGTTTTGTGGAGTTACAATTAAGGGCTATTACCCACATATCGTCAGTGGCTTTACAGATACAATCTCTCGGGCTGCTCTCATTATACTGCAAGGTAGTATGCTCTAAAATTAACCACCAGCAGAAAAGTCTCTATATGCCTGTTCTACACCCTGTGCTGAGGGCAGCAGGACCTTTTGCTAGGTGATAATCTCCCCAATTCATTGTTATTTCAGAAATGTGGGATACAACAGAGAGAAATTCTCAATGTTTGGCCGGCAGTTGACTAAAAAAAATACTTAAACAACTTTTATAATCCTTTGCTGTTTGAATCAAAAGAAGGTAATTAATATTCCAAAAGAGAATTTTTAAAGGAGGGCAGGGTCAGGTGTTAGCTGGTTAACAGAGACTCGGAAGCAAGGAGCTATTTAACCCAGGACAGATGTTAAGACATAGACTGAAGATTTGTATCTACATTCTGAATTGGGAGGGTTACTTGTATGGGTTTTGTTTATGTTACTGCCTGTTTGTGTGTGTGTGTGTGTGTGTGTGTGTGTGTGTGTGTGTG